CTAAGGACGAGCACAGGGTGAAGAGGACAGCTTTCACAAGGAGGGTCGCCATGTGCACTAAGGATGAGCCCAGGGTGAAGAGAACGGCTTCCCCAAGGAGGATCGCCATGTACACTAAGGATGAGCCCAGGGTGAAGGGGACAGCTTTCATAAGGAGGGTTGCAGAGAATGAGAGGAAGACTAATATAGGAAGGTGTCAGGAGTCATGTAGGAGGTAAAAAAGATGGCTGGGTAGCCACCGATGTGAGTGGAGGGGAACCAGACTGTGCCTCCTGCACCTGGGTCATTTGTCACATCAGGGAGCATTCACACAACACTTCTCCAGGCACAAAGGTGGTACCCAAGATAACAGCTCATTCTCTGCCCTTGAGAAAAGGGAAGATCAGACTGAAGTGAGTGACTGGAAAAAGGTATTTCCTTATTATTGTCATTGTTACTCTTCAAATCCGGTAAACAAAAACCTAAAATAACAGAGAGCATGCCCCATCATTTGATTCCTCTCTTTCCCATCTGCACAAAAAGGAAAATAAAAGTTTTAACATTCTTCACTGCTTACCTTTGACAGATTTAGATGATTAAGCAGGGGATAGTTGCCTCAATACACGAAGAACCTGTGGGACAGTAGGCACAAGATTTAAGAGGAGCAGAGTGAAGGCACAGCTACAATGTCCGAAAAAAGACTAGAATGTGATTACAGTGAGACTTCAGAGGGAGCAAATAGAGGCCCCAGCAACATAAGATCAGTTTTGAGCATCTTGCATATCTTGGGTTATGGAATGGATTTCTAACAGAGTTAAGGGGAAACCTGACATGGATGCTATTGTGTTCTTGATTGAGCAAAGGGGATTTATTTGTATCAAGACAGTGGAACCTATGCTCCCTGTCCTCATTGCCCAGTGATGAAATTGGAACACCTGTTATCTGTGTGTCCATGTCTGTTCTTCCCTCTGCTGTTCAGAGCAGGCACCTCCCATGGGGACATGTTTCTCCACCTCACAGTCTTTTCCTGTGCTTTAGAAATTCCCTCCTCTTAGCACCATACCCATACAGTCCAGCGCTCTGCAAACAGGAATGGCCATACCTTTGTGTCAGGAAACTAGTGCATTCATGAATTCCAGAGGAAAAAAGTAGGACTGACAACTAATCAACCTCAGCCGGTTATGGGGTCCTTCGATCCTTTCCCATGCCTACTGCTTCACTTGACTAGCCTTAAAGAAAGAAAGAAAGGTGCCTCAACCTCCGCCACACCCACCTGCACAGCCCTGCGTGAAGGGTAAGGGTGGGGCAGGTCAGGAGGCACTGGTGCCGCCACATCTGGGCCGTGGACTCGGACTGTGGCACGTGAGATGGGACCGGCGCCGGAGCCAGAGCTGAAGCCAGAGCCGGTGCCATGCTCTACAGCAGTGGGGAGTCTGGCGCCCTGCAACAAGTGCAGACTGCAGGACAGTGCGGACCCTCCTAAGATGAAACCTGATGAAACTCCTGTGTTTGACCCAAGTCTTCTCAAAGAAATGCACCGGAGTCAGAATACAGCTACGTTTTCTCCAGCCATTTCCCCAACCCACCCAGGAGAAGGCTTGGTTTTGAGGCTTCTCTGTACTGCTGACTTAAATAGAGGGGTTTTTTAAGGTACTGGAGGGCAACTGACAGAGACTGGAGTTGTCAACCCTGAACAATTCATGAAATCTTTTTGAGCATATGAAGAAATCAGGATTATTATGTTACAGTTGTGGAAGATGTGACTCTAAGACAGATTGTTGCTACGGCCACTCTGATAATAGAACACAAGTTTATTCATTCCTGTGTTAAGAGAGGAAGAGTAGAAGATGTTGTCCTTAGTGACAAATGCAGAGGAAAGCAGCTTGGCAAACTGTTATTATCAACCCTTATTTTGCTAAGCAAGAAACTGAACTGTTACAAGATTACTCTTGAATGCCTACCACAAAATGTTGGTTTCTATAAAAAGTTTGGATATACAGTATCTGAAGATAACTACATGTGTCGGAGATTTCTAAAGTAAAAATATTTCAAGAAAGAGAACTATCAAAGGCACCAATGGTACAAAGCTATCCTCTTCCTAGAGTTAAAATACTATGTTGGTGTGACCCAGTAACCTCCATAAATATCAGACTGAAAAAAAAACACTGTAATACTGCAAGTATGACATTGAGAAGATTACTTTGGGCTGGTGGGACATTCTGTGAATTCAGATCACAAATGATTATTATAAAGGGGGTGATGGCTTGGCGCCTGTGGCTCAAGTGGCTAAGGCGCCAGCCACATACACCTAAGGTGGGGTTTGAATTCAGCCCAGGCCCACCAAACAACAATGATGGCTGCAAACAAAAATAGCTGAGCATTGTGGCAGGCGCCTGTGGTCCCAGCTGCTTGGGAGGCAGAGGCAGGAAACTCGCTTGAGCCCAGGAGTTGGAGGTTGCTGTGAGCTGTGATGCCATAGCACTCTACCCAGGGGGACAGCTTGAGACTCTGTCTCAAAAAAAAAAAAAAAGCTACCTAAGAGCAATTATAATGGAACATCTAAGGTACTTTTAAATAGTGAATTAATAAATTAATAAATCTTAGCTTAGGTAGAAATGCCTGCATTTCTCTTTTCATGTGTACCTGAAGCCTGTTTTCTGAGTAATATTTTTATGGAGTATTCTGAAGTTAAGTGGAATACAGTGTCCAAAAATGTACCATACTGTTATTTGTCACAGTCTTTTTTTTTTTTTTTTTTGAGACAGAGCCTCAAGCTGTCCCCCTGGGTAGAGTGCCGTGGCATCACAGCTCACAGCAACCTCCAGCTCCTGGGCTCAAGCGAGTCTCCTGTCTCCGCCTCCCAAATAGCTGGGACCACAGGCGCCTGCCACAACACCTGGCTAATTTTTGGTTGCAGCCGTCATTATTGTTTGGCAGGTGCAGGCTGGATTCAAACCCGCCACCTTGGGTGTATGTGGCTGGCGCCTTAGCCACTTGAGCCACAGGCGCTGAGCCTGTCACAGTCTTAAAATCACCATTTTAAGATGCCTTTCTTTTAAATGTGATTATAATGGTACTAAAAGATGGATGCTTTTCTTTTAAATGTGATTATAATGGTACTATTATTCTGGTCATTATCCTGTTTTGATTTTATTTATTTTAATTATTTTTTAAAGTTGAAGAATTGACATTTCAGTGGTTCTAATCTTTTGCATTCCATGTTACAATAAACCTGTTCATATGATGGAAAAAAAAGAAAAGAAAGAAAACAATAGTGAGATTTTCTCCATCTGAATGTCTCCCACCTCTCTGACTCTCCACTCTGCCTGTAGTGTCAAGGGGCCGGAAAGA